CAATGATTCACTGATTTTTACTGTAAATCAGCGGGTGCTTATGAAGGTATCACAGTACCAGTGAGTCCTAAAGGCATCTGCTAATTTTCATTCACTCTCAGGATGGAGTAAGTAGTTTTCCTTCTCAGGGTATATACTGAGAGTGGTTATACTGCTTTATAGCCATCTTTTTAAATAGTATAACATTAAGATTTGACATGATTATTCTTGACTTGGGACTAGACAGACAAGTCTCATATTTGGGTTTGCCTTCGAATTTAATGACATACAGGCTTTGAGAAGTGAGCAAATGCTGTTTTCTTTCTGGTGAATATTACATAGCATTATTAAGAGTACAGTACTGTGCAGAGAACATAAAGTTATGTCCCATTCTCTTGCTGAATCCAAAGTATTGCCAAAAAGGTTATCCAAGCCCCCTTTCCCATTCCATATCCCCCGTTCTCTCTTTCCCTTTTCTTCTTAGAGTCGGTCTCATACCCAAAGAAGAAATTTCAGGATTCATTTATTTATTCAGTAAACAGTTACTGAGTATTTACACGCCAGGATAAGTACTGGTAGTCCGTGGTGACAGCCAGGATCCTTTTTTTTTTTTTTTTTTTATCCTCACCCGAGGACATTTTTCCATTTTTTGTTCAGATAGAATGGGAGGGAGAGAGAGGAAGAGAGAGGGAGAGAGAGAGAGAAACATCAACATGAAAGGGACACATCGAGTGGCTGCCACCCGCATGACCAACCAGGCCGGGGACAAACTGCAACCGAGGTACGAGGTACGTGCCCCGAACACGGGTCTCTCCGGACCGCAGGCCGACACTCTAACCGCTGAGCCAAATTGGCCAGGGCAACAGCCTTGATTCTTACACTTTTGTAGAATTTACAGTCTAGTACAGGGGACAGGGGTGGGGCTGGGGGTTGTTCCCATCACCTGTCTTTGTAAATAAAGTATTATTGGACTACAACCATATTTACATATCCATTCGTTTCTGTGGCAGCTTTTGCACTGTAATGGCAGACTTAAATAATTGCAGCAGGGACCCTACAGTCTGCAAAGCCTAACATGTTTTCATTTGCCCCCTTGGAAAAGTTAACCAACCTCTGCTCTAGCGGGTATGGTGGAGAAATCAGTGCAGGCTGACGCCTGGAAAGCCTTATCAACCTTGTTAAGCAGGATAAATTCTCCTGAGGGAAGTGGGCCAGTGGTGGAATGTTGTAAGCAGGGAAAGTAACATGTTCATATTTCAATTTTAGAAGTCACTGTGGTTGCTGTGTAGAAAAATACTGAAGAAAGACAGTAAGTGCATGGGTTAGAATGAGAAGCACTAAGCATAGTGGTTAAGAGCATGGGCTCTTGAGCCAGACCCCCTGGATTCACATTTTGACCCCACCATGTACTGATTCTGATGTTAGGTGACTTCTCTGTCAGATTTTCTGTCTATAAAATAGGGATGCTAATCATAAACCTAACTCTTGGGGTTAAATAAGTTAATATATGTGAAGCACTTAGACCACAGTGTTTGTCATCGTCACTGTTATTGCTATTATAGTAATCCTGTTAAGAGGTGAGAGTGGTGGAGAGAAGTGGGCAGATTCAGGAGCTACACAGGTGATAGAATTGACAGGAATTAAGTGAGGGATGGGATGTTGGTAACGCAGATACAAGAGAACAAGAAGTGAGGGTGAAATTCAGGTTTGTACTTGATCACATGAGTGGATGGTGGTTACAGTCCCCACAGTAAGAAAGACCATAATTGAAAGAGGTTTGTGATATGGGGTCAATAAGAAGTTCAGCTTGGGGTGTCATAAATTGAAGTACCAGATTGATATTAAGTAGAAATGTTCAGGAAGCAGTTGGCTATAAGGTCCAAAGATCAGAAGTGTGTTGTGGGCTGAGGAAATGGATATAGAAATGATCCATATAAATCTGGTCTCCCAGCTTGGAAGAGAATCAGATAACCCAGAATGAGGGTGGAATGACAGGTAGACTTTTAACAGAACTGAAAAGAACACCAACATTTAAAATTCAGATAAAGAACCCTTAAGTCAAGAAAAAAATCAAACAATTTTTGGAGGAAGATAAGCATGAAGTTTGAGTCTATTAAATATTCTCTTGTTGATGTGGCTGAATTTGAGAAATATTTCAATTTTCAATTTTTATGTTAGCATAGGCCATCCTACACAACTTGGCTATCTTGATTTCATGTACTAGCATATTCCACATTCTTTGCAATCTTTTCCCTGTGGAATATTAGGCAAGACAGTGGATGTTATGGTTATGGATGTTGACCTGTTCAATCTACTTTTCTATATTTTTGACATGGCTTTCCTCTCTTTTCTTTTTACCTCCCTAGTTAACCGATCCCCTAGGGCTTTAATGCAAAAAAAAAAAAAATTGAAGTTGGGGAGAATGTGTTTCTCTTTTTTGTGTTATATTTGCTTCAACATCAACAACTTGTGTCCAGGATCTTAGATTTTTGTAATGATTTCTCTATTTTAATTTGTTTACAACAATACCATACGTGAGTATAATTTTGTAAAGAGCCGGGAGATGAATTGGAACAATGGACCCTTTTTCCATCATCCAATCACTTCTCAGCTTCGGTGCCTACGTCTCTGTTACAGTTAAGCTTGGCTTCCTCTCCTTAGTATGATTTAATTCTCATGAGAACCCTCAGTACTTCATGAATACGAGATTTCTGGGAGGACTGCCTCCTACCTCTTCACCTCTGACCCTTAGTGGGGCTCACAGGCCAGGCTCCAGCGAAGTCCCTCCTGGAGGGTGGCTGATCAGAAAGGCCAGATCCAGAATCCTAATCTACCTATAACACATGCCTGAAGAAAGGCATCATATTTATAGAACCAGGCTGAGTGTTGCACTCTATATTTAGTTTTGTGTTATTAGAAGAAAATTGTGGAATAACTTTGAAATGGACCACAGAGATTACTGGCTATACTATCTGACTCAGCTGTCTACGTTATCTCTCCTTTTATTATCTTTGAGCTATTTTACAATCCTGTAAATGATAGAAAACTGATAGTAATGCAAAAATATTCTTATCCATTGAAAAGGAAATTGTGTACTGTGGAATACAGTTGGTTATTGCCTTCTATGTAGCAAACAAGTTTACCAGTTTTGCATCTATTTGCAATTCTTTGCAGTATTTTTTTTTTTTTTTAAGATTTTGTTTGACCCAAAATCTATTCCAATTGAGCAGCACCAAACTGGAAGTGGTCAGGAGCTTTCTCTCTGCAATATTCTTGATGTTTATGTATTTGTCTGTTTCGTAATTTACCTTTTGACCAGTTGTAACATCTTATGGATTCCCCATTTAATTACGGGATCAACTGAAATCTATGTCCCATGTTTAAAAAAAATTATCTTATTATAGATACACATGTATATTTATACAAGCATATAACCTCTGTAGAAAGATTCACAAGAAATTGCCGGCTATGATGGCCTCTACAGAAGGGGAGGCAGGTAAAATAGCTTTTTACTCTATGCCCTTTTGAATCCTTTGAATTTTGTATCATATGCTTATGTTGACTCAACAGATAGATACAGTTTTAAAATTCATTTCCTAACCCTCCAAAATCAATTCTTAGCTAGTCTTTACCAAAACATCAACATCAACTAAATTCCCATGTGAATTAACTGACTTTCTAAAAAGAAATTTTTGTCCCTAAACAAACTACCAGTAAATAGCAACCTACCTGTCAACGTCATACCCAGAGCCTTACTTCTGTACCTTTTAAAACAAAGTTTTTAACCTTCTTTTTAAGGTAGCTCTAACATTGTAGAAACATTTTGGTCAAATGGTACTAATTCTCTTTTGAATCCATTAAAGGATCACAATCTTAGCATGGAGTGAGGTGGCCGACCAGTTAGCCTATTTTGCAGTTGTTCTAAATTCACCTTGCCTCTTGCCCCACTAATGCATACTCAGTGATCCCCTTGTCTAATTATAGCTAGCTTCTCTCCCTTCAGCCTAGAGGTTCTCAAGCTCAGATGCATGGTGAAATCACCTGAGGAGCTTTTAAAACTAGATGCCCAGACCAATTCTGAGGCTTTTAAAACTAGATGCCCAGACCACAAGGTCTGAGGGGTGAAGCATCAGTATCTTTTAAAGCCACTGGGGTGGTGCTCAGGTTGAGAACGCTGCTGCATACAGAGAACCGGACTGGTTTAGCAGGAACTTCATGTGCCATACCTCAGGAGCAGGAGCACTGTGGATCTTTGACTGAAAATCTGCATACGTGATGAGGAGGGTCCACACAGAAAGGGGGGACAGCCTTTACCGAGTCTCTTTGCATATAAAATCTGTTTCTACCCGGGCTACCTCTGGAGTGGGAAAACTTAGGTAATGAGTGTGATGTAAAAGCCCAGAGTGACTTGGTTGCAGTTACTAGAGGTTTTTTTTAAAAAAAAAAAGTTATCAATTCAGCTGAGGTCTCACTGAGTGGAAAATACAAAATTGGGACTGTTGGGTACACGTCCCTGCCTTGTTCCTCTGCCACCACGGGCACGAAGCCAGCCTAGTGATGGGTGGCACCTAATACCACTACCCCACATGGTTATATCACTGACACAAAGCTGCGTTTATCGAATACCAGTCAGCTGCGAAACCCACATACTGTACAGCCTGACCTATTAAGTGTCTGTTTCTGTGAGAGATCCCAGAACCTCATTGCTCTGACCCACAACAATGTGCTTTATTCAGAGGTCTTTGGTAGAGAATTCGGTTTAGGAGGGGAGAAGTAAACCATGCATCCATTCATTCATTTATTTGGGGATGGTAAGGCAGGGAAACAGTCTCTCTTGGTATGCCCTTCCCTCCCTGAAAGGTATCTTTTAATGGGAAATCCTGATTACTGGCTTGCTTGTTTCATGCTTGAAACCATTTTATTGTTGCCTCAGCCTTTTTTAAAACATGCAAATTGGTATCATAAACTCTGCTGTGGTTTGCCTTCATGTACTCATTGTATATCCCCTCCCTTTTGTATAGGAAGACAGAGATGTCAATAACCCCATGCCTAACCGAGGAGGCAATGGATTAGTTCCTGGGGATGACAGATTCAAACCTGTGGTACCCTGGCCTCATGTTGAAGGAGTAGAAGTGGATTTAGAGTCTATTAGAAGAAAAAACAAGGCCAAAAATGAACAAGAGCACCATACTGGAGGAGAGAACCAGAAAGACATAATGCAGAGGCAGTATCTCACTTTTAAGCCTCAGACATTCACCTACCATGATCCTGTGCTACGCCCCGGGATCCTCGGTAACTTTGAACCCAAAGAACCTGAGCCTCATGGAGTGGTTGGTGGCCCTGGAGAGAATGCCAAGCCATTGGTTTTGGGACCAGAATTCAAACATGCAGTTCAAGCCAGCATTAAAGAGTTTGGATTTAACATGGTGGCAAGTGACATGATCTCACTGGACCGCAGCATCAATGACTTACGGCAAGAAGAGTAAGCACACATCCTCTCCTTTCTAAAATCGGGGCTGCTGTTGTTTTCATAGATATTCAGGTAGATGCTTAGAATGGGAAAAAATGTTATGCCTTTCTTTCAAGGAAATAAGAGGGTCTTTGGTCTGCAAAATGGCCAGAAGGAAGAGAGCTCTCCATTTGTGACATGATATTAAAGGTATGGCGTTTGGAATTTGGGGGTCTTCCTCGTGAGCCCTGCTCAAAATCTGGTCCTCAGACTGGTAGCAGTCTGTGAATTTTCTGTTACCAGTCCACAGAGAGAAAATGAGCTTGTAGCAGGATGTGAATCAACTTTTAGATACCTTGTTTAGTTCAACTGACAATTTCTTAGCACCAAAAATGTCTTGGTGTGTTGCTTTTCATTCTGGACCTAGCTCCTTATTTTGTTGTGGAACCATAGTAAATAGTACCACTGCTGTAGATGTCTTATATGATTAACTAGATATTTATGTTTCCTTTGCGGTTTCTTCCTCAGCACTGAGACTCTTGAGTATGCAAAGGGAGCACCCAGACAGATAAAACTATGGCCTAAACTTTCAAATTCTTTCCATGTAGTTTAATTTAAAATAAAGAATTTTCAAGTCTTAGCTTTTGATAGGTGGCAATTACGGAATGAACTCAAAGTTTCTCTCATTCAGTTTATTCGATAACTGGTTCTACTTCTCTAAGATCTAAATGGTGTCCATTAATGTGGGTGTGTATTTAATTCACTGCTACTAGAAAACTCTCAAAACGTATCCCTGATGATGCATGATGAACAAATCCTCATTTTAAAAGGTTAACCCAGCACTTGCACGCACACACGGCAGCATCCTTTGTGGACACAGAGTAAAATTCTGTGCCTAATGGAGTGCTACTCAGTGGACTTTGGACATTCATATGTTTATTGGAAGAGTGGGGGTGGGGGTGAATGAAATATGCACAAATAGCAGAAGGCATAGAAATATAGAGCTACGATGCTGAAAGCATAACCTCTTTTTTTTTTTCCCCTCACCTGAGGACATTTTTGCATTTATCTTCAGATAGAGAAGGAGGGAGAGAAGGACGAAGAGAGAGAGAAACATTGATGTGAGAGAGACACATCGAGTGGCTGCCACCCATGTAACCCCAACCGGGGCTGGGACAAACTGCATCCGAAGTACCTGCCCTTAGCAGAAACCGAACCCAGAACTCTCTGGTCCGCGGGCCAACACTGCTGAGCCAAACCAGCCAGGGCGAAGCTTAACCTCTTATACAGAGAAGAGTTAGAGAATCTCAAAGGACTGTGAAGGAAGAACATTGGAGCAATTCATTCCTAATCAAAGTAGAGATTTGCCTAGTCATAGGGTTGCCAGATTTCACAAATAAAAATAGAGGTTGCTCAGTTAACATTTGAATTTCAGATAACAATGAAAAGCAGGTAGTATAAGTATGTCCTAAACACAGTATGGGACATAATTACACTTTAAAAAATTATTATCTTAAATTCAAGTTTAACTGGGCGTCCTATATTTTATTTGGTAACCCGTCCAGTCAGCAGGGGTGAGGGTAGTTATTACAGAGTTAGAGCTGCCCTGGACGGACTCATAACGGGACCTGCAATGCCTCCTCTGGGGTTACCTAAAGTAGTTATCTAAAATATAGTGCTCAGTCCTGGCGCTCATCTCTGTTACAGAAGGTCCCCTGAGAACCTGCTGGTGGCGTGCACATCACTATACCGGGGAGAGGGAAGGGATGGGGGGAGTCTGACATGATTGACTTTCCACTACATGCCGGGACTTACTGTAAGTTATCTTACTAAATTCTCACAACCAAACTGTGAGAGCGTTCTTACGTGTGTTTGTAAAGTCTGAGGCTGAGAGCTGTGCCTGCTCTGTGCCTGCCTAGCAGAACGGCACAGCTGATCCACCCCAAGGCAGCGTGGTGTGAGAGCCTGCTCCTTCCAGCACACACTTCCACACGCCGTGTCCTCCGTGCAGTGCTGCAGTCACAGGGTGCGCCTAGCCTAGACACTGAGATTTTAGCCCATGAATTATTTATGAAAGATGTTTTTTTTAAAAACACCAATATGAATCTAGTTCACTTTTCTGTACAAGGAATATGCTAAGAAAGTCAAATGATGTATGAGACGGAGCAGTACACAGGATTAGAGTCACCCTCTCCGCCTCTCTCTCCTTCACCCCTCATGTCCATTCTAGCTGTAAGGTCTCTTGTTTCTACCCCCCCCACCCCCACCCCAGAATATGCCTCAGATCATGTCTGGGTGCCCTTCTTTCATCTCCACCGCCACCACCCAAGTCCAAGCCACCGTCTCTCTCGGGGTCCTGCAGAAGCCTTCCTCCTGGTCTCCATTTCTCTTGCCCCCCACCTTACTCCTACAGAAGCCAGTGTGGTGTTTGAGCCCAGAAATGTAGCTCACCCAAAACCATTCTTTGCCTTCCCCGTGCACTTGAAATAAAACTCGAACTCCTAACCAGCAGCGGTCCCCATGACGGGACCCTTCCCGCCTTGCCACCTCCTCCAGCGGTGCCAGCTTCTCCCGGTGCCTTGCACCTGCTCTTCCCTCTCCCGCGGACGGTTTTCACCTTCTTAAGGCTGTCTCCTTCCCATCATCTGGGTCCCAGTCGAGCCTCGGTAACCATGCTGTCTGATTTGGTGATGCCCAACTTTATTTCCTGTTACTGCTCTCGGGCCATTTCTTGCATAGCATTTGTCAGGTTTTATAATTATATATTAGTTTATTTAGTTGATTGTTGATTACCTTTCTTACTAGATGATAAGCTCCTGAGAGCAAGGAATATGTCTGTTTTCTTCACCAGGTACTTTGAATAACTGACGAGGAGCTTAGTAGTACTCAGTTGGTAAATATTTGTCGAGAGGAGAGATGAATGGGTGGATGGAGGAAGTCAAGTTCAAACCTTGACTTCGTTACCACATAGGAGATCTTAGACCAGTTACTTACCCTCTCTACCCCTCAATTCCATAATCCTTCAAACAGGTCTAACAATACCTTGTCTCTGAGGACTGACATTAGATGTAAATGACATAATGGACTAAAAGTCTTTTATCAAAGGCCTGATAGAAACTTAACTGTCATTGTCATTGATGTGGTACTTTCTTCAGGTCACATGTCTTCTTGTCACATTTGAATGTTTTCAGTTACTACTTAACTTTGATGTGTCTGTTGCTTTTTGAAAACGTAAAATGTCATACACTGCCTTATCTACATCATCTTGCTTTTACCTGTACCTTCCCCATTGGCAACGCCTTCCTTCGCCTTCGATAATTTCAGACACAACACTGCACCCCTCCCACCTCCCTGAGTCTTCTTTGATCTCGTGCAGTTCCTTCCTTTCTTTCATTTTTTTCTCCCTCCCTCCCTTCCTTCCTTTCCCCATTGCATCCCTCTTTCCTCCTTCTTTTCTTTTCTCCCATGTTTTGCCAGTTGTTCTCCATGTTCTTTTTTCTTGCGCAACTGGAGCAGTACCTGGAAATAGGGTCATTGCATGTCCCCGTGTATCATTCCTGTCAGTATGTGTCTTCAAGGGCCCAAGTATCCCTTGACAGATGCTCCTAAACCCCTCTTTAAAATTCTCTTTTCGAGAGAAAAGTTTTTTTTATACTTCAAAATACTCAAACTTAATAACCCTGCCCCCGAAATTTTTAAAAAACTGAATCCAGGTTATTTTTTAAACTTGATTCTTTCTCACACTTTTTAAAAAATGAAATGAGCTGCATTCCTCTGTGAATACTTAAAATTCAACATAGAGCAATGAATCATTGCTAAGAAAAGTTATTCATAAATTAGAATGTGGACAGCCATAAGAATTTTCTCTGAAAGCAAAAGGCCAACAACAAAGAAAACATCCCTAAGTTTTTCACATTATCCAATATGCACATTAGCACGTTTCTGCCTTTACTGGCAGCATGTTGAGAACAGAACACACGTCCACATCTCTCTCACACACTCTCCCTCACGCTCATCCCTCGTGGAGAATACGCACAGGGAGCCCACCAGAGACTGGCGTGGCATTGCTGACGTTCTGAAGCTAGCCTTGTCAGCCCTGTTCTCTTGCCTGTGTCAGGCATAGGGAGAGCCACCTGCCATGCGTGGAACCCCTGCTTGGGCAGTTTGTCCAGCTGTGACATCTGACGCTGTGGTTAACTTGTTCGTTTTTGTGGCTGCTCCATTGTCTTTTCAGATGAATGTTCTTTTCCTCACAAGCAGGACAGGGCTGCCCAGCTGCCAGCATGACTCATAGTTATGTATGTTACAGCTTTGGATTACATTCTCTGGCTGAGTAATTTACTGGCTGTTGATTACTTGTTAAGAGTGAGTAACAGTATTTTGAGTGAACTGGAGGCCAACTTCTTTTTTAGACTTGAGCCAAGAATGACTTCACTTGCCTTCACACTTATTTTCTATAAAAATATATATATGATTTTCTTCACAGTTCAACAGATACTGAGTATGTCCCATAAGCAAGGAGCTGTGCTAGCCCATCAGGGGTTGTACACTGGGAAAACATAGTCGCTGCCTTCCAGGGGCTCACCATCTGCCCCTGGGGAGAAGGGAAAGAATACGGTACTATAAGAGCCCTAGGAAAGGTGTGAGCAAAATGGCATGGTTCAGAGAAATGGGAGGTCAGGGGAAGTCAGAAAAGGATTCGTGGAGGGGACACTAGAGGCGGACTCTGAAGAATGAGTAGGGTTCCCCCAGGAAGAGGTTACAAGCATTGAGGACATGAAGGTAGGCATTGACTAGGAGGGAAGCAAGTGACATCAATTCCTTGGGTCAGGAAGTGTATGTGGAGAAACAAAGCTGATAGGTAAGGTCATGTTTAGAAGACCACTGTGCCATTTACAAAGCCTATACTGCACTTGGTAGTCAGGGATGACCCACTGAAGGTTTATAAAGGGAATTTAGGACTGTCAGAGTGGGCAAGGTATCAAGAGTGGACCAGGGGGTGGAGACCTATTGGAAGGTTAGTAGCATTAGAG